ATATATGTATATATATTGATTATCTAATTTATATATATATATAAATTAGATAATCAATTTTCTTAAACAAATAACTTCTCTAAGAAATTAATTTTCATAATATTCACTTAATTAGAAAATATTAAAGTCCAATTTAGAAAATTTAACAGAATAAGGAATTTTTATCCATTATTACATTAAAATAAGAAAACCGTTTTATCAGATTGTTTCCATAAAGAGGCAATTTGTTTAACTTACGATCATTAAAGATATTGTAAACATGAAACTTTGAGATAACTACTTTGTTCAGATAAGATGCCTCATTACGTCACTTTCATCATTAAAATACTTAAATGTGTATTATCTGTATGAAAATGTATGAAATGATTTATCCTCCTTTATTATTATTTTTTCCTGAAAACTACTGTTTTTATTTTTAGGTGCTATTTTTACAGAAGATCAAAAAGATAGTGCCGTAGAATTGGCATTTAAGTACGCAGTGTACCGTATAAATCGGGACCGTAACATCTTGCCTAATACCACCCTAATGTATGACATCCAGCATGTACCTCACGACGACAGCTTTCATGCTTCCAAGAAAGGTAAGAACTCCGTAGTCATAGTAACAGCTCTACCTACTTTCTGATCAGTAAAACATGTTACAAAAGAACTGATTTATATTGTTATTACGTAAGATTCTTATAAAAAAATAAAAAGGAATTTTATTAGCATTAAACTATTTTTATTCGTATTGCATAATATAAATTGATTATGCAGAATTACATTGCGAAATTAATTATTATTTATAAATGTAATTAGATCGGTATCATGCATATGTTTGCATTAAGATATTTCAGACAATTTAAGGAAAAGATGTCGTAAAACTTCCATCAGTTTCTTAATTCGTTTTCGACATATCTTAGAAGTTGTTGATGGTCTTGGTTGCTTTCCATCTGTTCGAAAGAATGGGAATCTTCCAACAAATCAGTGTCGTGAGAGGTTGCTGGCTCACAATTTATCGATCTAGATACCACTCCTTCTCGGAGGATGGTAGGAAATCTGAAGGAAAATACCATATTTCTGACATCATTGCTGACTGTTGGGACCTCAGTTTATTCTCTATCTTATTATTCTCTTACATAGACAATATCTCAATTGTATACTCTAAAAATAACTCAGATATTTTATTTTTAGTAGAACTATGCTGGAAAAATTTTAGTTCTTTTTAGAATTATTTATAATGAAATACTTTCGATCAGTATTGTTTACAATATATTCTGAAACAAACCCTAGAGATATATTTCGGTCATATTTTGTAAGATAATATCATTATTTATATTCAAATTTAATAAATATCAAAGATAGAAATTCTAAAATTATTTGATATAATTTAAAATACTTTTCAATTTTCTAAATTTAAAATTTTCGAGAGATTGAAAAAATCGACCAGAATTGTCATGATTAAATGATAAGATGGAACATTGTTAAGAATTCTTTGACTAAATTAAGTACAGTTTTGGAAATGAAAATGAATTTTTTATTACCATTGTACAAAAGAATATAATAAATATGTAAGTCATGAAACATGTAAGTCCTAATCACTGAATAATTATTATGATTTAAAGTAAAATATTAAATTATTATTTAATACAAAATTAATTTTTTAAACTCGATAATAAAGTAAATATATTTATAATCTAATTTAAACGCATATTTTAGTTAAATAAAGAAGTAAATACACTTAATCTAAGATAAATCTAACAGCAATTTTCTTATGTTACACACTAGAATTCTAATATTACTGAAAATTTTGTAGCTTGGCTTATGTCAGTTTATATTTTAATTAGAAAAGATTAGAACAATAAAGGAATTTAATTAAGAAATTAAATAAAATATACACGTTTAATTAATTATTTTTAATTTAAGTAAGATGACATTACTATTTGTACTTGTGTTATTCTAATCGTTTTATTTTATTTCTCAAACAATTTAAGTCAGTTATTTAATAACTGTTATGAAATATAATTTATTAGCAATTATATTGTTTTATATCTATATTTATGTACTCAACTTTATACTATAATAAGTACAGTTTAACTTAAACGTTGCATAAAGAAAAATATTGAAAAAGTTAACAATATAATTATAGCAAAATGTATATATGTAATTTTGTTTATTGTATATGCTTTATTAATACACTTACATGCAATTTTTATACTGTTAGGGGAAAAACCGTTAAAACAATTAAGAATCAGTACAGTCGATCCCCCTATAACACGGTAGATACGTTCCGTTTTTTATGAATCCATTTTCTACGAGTCCAGCCGATCACAGCCCGGCACGTATGCAGTTTACGGACTACGGCCGTTTGAAAGGTTTCTTCCATAAAATTAATCGATTCTAGACTAGTTCGACTCAACATTTCCAAAATACGTATAAATTTTTGGGAATAATCCATATAAACTATGCTATAAACAAAAAATTGTAGATTACTTATCGAGTGTGCACCGTTCGACTACGCCATTGCTTAAGCTTGTTTTCGTCGTGGAGCTTGTCATCGAATGGGGCTCGCGTGCTTCCTGATAAATTATTATTTTTGCGAAAAATTCGCTGAACTTTGGAGACATCATTAATATAAATATAATTTTTATGGACGTTAAATAATAAATGGTTTTTAGTAGGTTCGCTGCTCGTTTAAACTCAACGGTTTGTACAATATCCGCTATTGGTTTAGATTCGACCAATCCTGTCGCGACACGAGTCGGCGATGACGTTTTATCGAGTTATACGAGTTTTTTTTAGCATGTTTGTACGTATACTGTCGCAATTTTTTTACCGTGATATAGGAATCCGAACTATAGGAACCCGTGTTATAGGGGGGTCGACTGTATAATGAAATACTGTATTCATTATTACTTTGTTTTTCGTTTTTGCGTGTTTATTTTTACTTAAATTAGCAAAAGTTAAGAAATTGCATATAAGATGAACCTAATTCAATAATATTCTGCTTCATATTTATGATAAACAGTCAAGATATATTCAAGAATAAAAAGCAGTATATGAAAGCTTGTGTATCTGAAAGTAAGTTCTGAAATAGATAAAAAACAAAGCATTTGGAGGTAAGGTTAACAATATTCTATGACTTCTTGTCATAGAATATTGTTAACCTTTCCTCCAAACTTGGATGTATGAAAATAGTCTTCTACGTAAACTTCCGAATAATGAATATAAACAGGTTATTTCAATACTTGTTTAGGGTAGAAAAAAACATAAAAAAGTGAATTTCTATTGAAGAGTTTGTTTTTTTAAAATATTTCTTATTAATTTACTAACAATTTAACTGTTTTTGGAATTTCTGAATGATTATAAATATAAAAATAAAAATAATCAAATGTTGATTAAAATTCAAAATTTGTAATAATGTAATTGCTAATTATCAAGTCAAGTCATATCAATGTGCAAATATTTTGAAATTACGTAAATTTAAAATAGATTTTTTTTAAAATTATACTAATAGTTTTGTTTTTGCTTTTATTAACATATTCATTGTATAATTGCATATATATACATTAAAAAAATTGGATTAAAATAAAAATTCTATATAATACAAACAATAACTGACAACAACAAAACTTTCAGGATTAATGGGAGAATTAAATATAAACAAGAAAAATAATTCATTTGGAAGATAAATTTATCTAGAATATTATTAATTTTTTTTTCATTATTTTTCAAAATTTTTCGTTATAGGAGAAACGCTTAGTTTTTGATAAAAGTAATGTGATTAATATTTTAATTATTTTAACAAATAACATGCATGTAGGAAATCTGTTTGTTTCCATCTGAAAAGTGCTTCTAGGCATGATTTTTCTGTCTTGAAAATATTTTCAATAAAAGCAAAATAAACAACTTCCCTCCTTTCTCTAAAAGAAAAATATATATATATATATATATATAAACCAGAAAATGCAATTGAATGTCTTCATCAAGAATGAATAAATAATAAAGTATATAACCATTTAAGAAGAATCTTAAGAAGTTTTTAAGTGGATATTCGATTTATATTCAACTTCATGCAAGAAATAATCGTTAATTTAAGTTAAATGTTTGAGTGGAGAATTTACAAGCAAACGATCGCTTTACTTGAATACAATTAAGCACATTCAAAGAAATGTTAGTTTATTAAGCTGAATGAGTTTCAAGGAAAAAGAAGAAGAAAACGAAGGGGGAAAGAAGAAGAAAATTTCGATTGCTCTACATCTTTCTTGCTGAAGATAATTGAAAAGAAGAAGAAGAAGAAGAAGAAGAGAGGGAGGGGAAAAAGAAATTTACTTCATATTTGAAGACAATTTCAAAAAAATTTATTATATCCCACGTATATAAATGATTTTTAAAAATGGGCTTCGTTTTTATCTTAAATAGTAGTTTCTTTCGGGATAAAATTGATTAAAATTAAAATTTTGTTTAATACGATTTACAAAAGTAATTTTTATGTAAAAATAAGATAAAGACTATTGTTTAAAAGATGTAAGATAATAAAGACAGATGGTTATTTTCTTAAAACGAACAGAATGGTGAATTAAAAGGGAGTTGTCGCTGTCTATCGACTGTCATATGTCACGTGTATCGAGTCAATGCCGTGTAGAGAATAGACTTCCTGTGTAGTAATGAGTCTTCTCTTCATCCGCAAAGGTTGTATCTAAGAAAAGAAAAATTGAAGGAATTCCGATTAGTGCCAACTCTCGGTACCAGATGTCGTCTTTCACAAGCACGCAAAGACATCTGGGAAGAAGATTTGCCTTTGTCAGCTGTTCCTTCTCTATTGGATCTTCTCCTATTTTTTTTTTCCTTGCACAGTTTGGATTCTTTGATCTTTTAAATCGCCTCTTCTTATAGCAACATCAAATTGTAAAATTGAAAAAAAAAAATTAAAAAATTAAAAATAAAACCACGTAACACCTAACTTGCTGTTTTTCCTTGTTTTTTAATAGAATAAAAATCGCCATCTTTTTTTTTGGAANTTGATAGAGTTTCTTAAATCGTCTATTAATTTTTTTCACATAATAGTAACATGATCGCGTTTAGTCTTGAATCTATTATTGAAGATCTTCAATAATAGATTCAAGACTAAACGCGATCATGTTACTATTATGTGAAAAAAATTAATAGACGATTTAAGAAACTCTATCAAAATAGACATACCAGAGATGAAAATTTGTGTAATAAAAGTTGATAAATAAATCATATGTAGTTTCAGCTGTTTTCTTAAATAGCCGAATTTGTTTAATTAAACAACAATTTGGGGACCATTGGTCTTAGGTTAATCAGAAAAGTTGAGCTCTGTGTCCAACCCCAACCTCTTTGGCATGCTCTTATACATAAAAGCGAAATCGTAGTAAAATTTAAAAAAATTTTATATTATTTATTCGCAAGTTATTTTAAAGTTAGTTAATTTATTTAAAAAGACCAAAACCAATGCTAAAATTTAGTATTATACGATTTTATACATATCAGGCCTCACTTGAAGTCACAAACGATCATAACTCCTTACTTAATATAATTAATTCGATATAACTCTGTGACATAATTGTATTTAAGACAG